TGCTTTATTTTATCCTTGAGGTACTTTCTGAAAGTCCCCAGATGGTATATTCTCTCCCTCTTGTTCTCATTTTGTATTCTGCCCCTCAACACACACACACACACACACACACACACACACACACTTCTGCTACCACTCACTACTTTGTCAAATTCATTCTCATCCTTCAGGTCTGAATTTAAATGTCACTTCTTCAGAGCCCTTCCCTGACCCACTAGTCTCAATTCTGACCCTCTCCCACCATTCTCTCAGCATCCTCCTCCAGAATTCGTGTGTCAATGTGTAATCATACATTTATCTGTGTCATTATTTGGCTAGTATCCATCTTCACCACTAGACTGTAGGCTTCAGGAAGGGAGGCAGCATATCTTGTGTTTGCTCACCTTCAGTTAACCAGCACTTAGCACAATACCTGGCACACAGTAGGACTTCAATCAATATTTCTTGAATGGACAAATGAAGAAGACCCTGGAAATATACCAAGAACAATGCTGAGTGTGATCCAAACCAGTTGCTATTTCCATACCTGGTGTGTCCCACCTGGAGTGAGCTAAGACCCTGAGAGGGCCCACGTGACTCAGGAGCTGCAGTCTCCATATTAGTACCTGGTGTGAGCCCATCTCCTGGCCCTTCACCCGGGCTCCTGTTTCCAGTCCCACACAACTTGTCACAAGGACTCTAGAATGGCACCCTCCCATCTCCATCCCACAGAAGCTGTGCCAGGCCCCTTCTCTACGGCTGGACCCCACCACTCTTACTTCTCTGGAAACAGCATTTAACCAAAAACTGAAAGGGACGTAGCATTAAAATAAAACCAAAAAAACAATCCTAGCAACCACAAGAAGACGTTTCCAAGACATTTTTTTCTTCATGTCTTGGACTAAAATCGGTAGACACTATTTTTGACACTTCTGTTTTGTTTCACAGTGATATACAAAGATGTTTCACATTTCTGCGCACTACCCTCTCCCATTCGGCTATGACAACTTGCTTTGATAATCAACAGTTTTTGTGTGATGATGTGTATCCTGACAAATCTTACGCCTTAACAAAAACCTCCTTACAAATTGTTTACTGTGTCAAATAGCTTGTTATATTTGACAGTAGCTTTTCCTTTAGGATTTTAGAATCCAATAAGATCCCTTAGTAAAATTCTGCTGCCTGGAGTTTCCCAGAGTTTGAGTTGGCATTCCCAGGGTACAACACACTTAAAACTGTTAATACTAGATTGAGCTATGGTTCAGGGCTGTCTCTTTAAAAAAATATGGTTACTTACAGAAATACCCCGTAGAATTGAAAGTAATGTTAAATATAAGATACTTGAATAAGTATAATTAAGTCATTTTTATCATGTTTTGACATGAAACTTTATAAAAGAACAAAAAGCCAATCAAAATACAACTAAATCTGTTATCTTGCACTTACTGTAAACAAAATGTCATATATAAATATTTTTATTTCTTTGGAAATCTTAACCACACTTACTTTGTGTCTACAATGTGCCAAGTATTTTTCTAAACCTTGTGCATATATTAATTGATGCAGTCCCACAATAGACCTTAAAGGGGAACACAGTAATTATTTTCATTGTTCAGCTGAAAAGCAAATGGATGCACAAGAAATTCAAAGTAACACAACTAGAAAAGGCAGAGCCAAAGTTATGTGTCCAGGCATCTGCCTCCAGAGCTGTGAGTTTAACCACTCCTCCATCCTCTTATCAATGCATGGACCCAGGCAAATGATCCTTTTCCATTCCCAAATCCTCATATATATAATTTATTATATTTTAAATTGTTATATGCCTTCTATTATGTTATGAAGGATAATGCTAGATTTTTTTATCCTCCATGGATTTTAACTATGGCTAATAAACAGCTTGGCATAATGATGTGAGTCAAGTAGAACTGGATTTAGAATCCAGCTCTACCACTTACCAATTATCTCACCTTAGGAAAGTTCCTTAATCTTTCTGAGCCCACTTGCTGTTTTGTAAAATAGGGATCATTACAGCTGTTTTCAGGAGAAAATGAGATAATCACATATAAATTGTCTAGCTCATGGGTGATCGATAATATACCTTTCCCCAAGTGTGTAAGTAAGAGCACTAGGAAATTACATTAATTCTTATGAAAAAGAAGGTTCCATCAATAAATTACTAACATGATATTGTAAATTATATTCTATTGGCTGAAAACAGTTTATTTAGTTCCTTAAGAGTCCCAGTTGTATCAAGAGACAACAGCATTTACAAGAAAACCATATTTTTTGTAGCCTAATCGAAATTTTCATGCTCAGTTACAAAGCATTACAGAAGAGGAGTGATCAAATTGACAGTTATCTGAATGAGCAAAACTGAATAGCCAGACTATGGAGGTGTGGATGTCTCACAAATTGCATCCCATTCTATGGAACTCTGCTTTCCCATATCTTCCCATTAAGCGCTCCTGTAACTTTATGTGGACCTTGTATACCTGAGCCTTTCTGGTGTCAGCTTCTTAGTGAAGTGATTGTGACTAAAGAGAGTTTGGATTGAGGTTGTCAAAGAGAAGCCTGGGGCGGTTTAGCCTTGTACAAGAAATGTCACTCTGCTTAATTCTCCTCCACCCTTGCTGATGGGCAGTAGCTATGTCTTGTGTCCCATGGCCACCTCCAATCTTATGTATGTATATGAACACCTGACATAAAGGCAGCCAATCCAAAGACTGGTCACACACCTATGCTGTAGGAGCAAGCACCATCATAATACTTTCTTGCAATTTGGTTTTTGCAAACTGAGAGACGAAAGCATTATCAAGGGAGTGCAGAAAGGGAGGTAAAATAAGAGATGTCTCAAGCAAGTTGGTAGGTCTAGGGACTCTGGGATGTCACTAAACAGTGAGAAAAGTGAAGTTAGGATAAAAATTTCTCCCAAAACTTGCAAAGTATATGGAAAGAGAGAGATTCCTAGACTTCTTTGATTTAAATTGTTTTTAAATATGGTTCCACTGTACCTGTATCTTTACAATAGACCTTCTAACTCTTGACCATGGAAAGCGGAGTGAAACATCCCAATATAAACTTGAGACTAAGGAGACACACTGACACTGCCCATTGTTATAGAATTTTATTAGCAGAAACAACCAGTTCCTTCTGATGTGCCCAGTAGCCGCCTCTGTGTCCTTCCTGTAGAGGCTGACACAATCTCCAGTGCTGCTAACAGTGGGGCCTCAGGGCAAGACTGGCTGATGAGCGCAGGGAGAGAGCCTGTGCTGCCAAAAGTGCAGCTGACATCAGTGGGGAGCAGAGTGAGAACTCCAGATGTTTAGAATTAGGATGACTATAAACAAATTTGTATCCCCAGATCCACCAAGCTTGCTTTTTAAAATTATTTTTGTATCTGATAAACAAACCCATATTCTCTTTTCTCGGTTGCAAATAGACTAATTCTGTAGGGAATGATAATACTCATACTGGTTAACACAGCTTGCTATTCTTTCCCCAGAAATTGCATAATTCACATCAACATGATTCTCTCAATTGGTAGTTTGGGGACTTCAATATAAACACTACCATTTTCAAAGACTCTTCAAGACTGGTTTTATGCACATGTATCACCTTATTCATTTTTTTCGCTGTGCCAACTTTCATGTCCAAATGTTACTTTAGCCACAAATATTCTTCACTATGTCATATCATGACATTAAATTTGATACAACTGTCATGGGAGTGGGTCAGGGACATGGGGTAGCATCTTTTGTGCAGCAAACTAATCAGTTGCAAGAGATTATCTGAATTTGTGCCTGGAAATTTCACCAATGCATCTGTGACTAAGAAGAGTCCACTCCCATACTACCATTACCTCTACTTCAATAATTTGAATGAGGGGTGTCTTCAGCCAATCTGAAACACACATTTCAAGAGGTTCTTATTATTATTCCCACTTTGTCATCACTCCAGCATGCACAAACCGATGTCTAGCAGGTTCAAAGCCTCCTTTTGATACATCACAATAAATAGGCCCTCCATACTGCCTAGGACAGTGATGGCGAACCTTTTGAGCTCGGCGTGTCAGCATTTTGAAAAACCCTAACTTAACTCTGGTGCCGTGTCACATATAGAAATTTTTTGATATTTGCAACCATAGTAAAACAAAGACTTATATTTTTGATATTTATTTTATATATTTAAATGCCATTTAACAAAGAAAAATCAACCAAAAAAATGAGTTCACATGTCACCTCTGACATGCGTGTCATAGGTTCGCCATCACTGGCCTAGGAGAAGCATGTATCTTTACTCTCAGCAGTCACATTTCTTTAGAGTCTATTGTCAGAGATAGAATCCATTAAAAACAACAATCGATCTCAGGCAGCTTCTCTACTCAACAGGTTTGAGCAAGTTTGATAATTGCCTAATGCCTGAATCACCCCTTATATGTTCCAACTGTGTTCTATGTTCCAACACATGCGTGCATGCACAAACACACATACACACATGGGATCCTTACCTTTGTATATACGGAGTGATTGTGAAATGGTTGACAATAGAGTTGAAAGCTACCAATAACAGTCCTAAACCAAAACGTTCATTTTACAGGGCCGTTGTTCAAGAGAGAACTGCAAGTATCTTCACCCTCCAACACATTTAAAAACTCAACTAGAAATTAATGGGAGGAACAATTTGATCCAGCAAAAAACTGCAGCAGCAATGCTTGCCCAGCAGATGCAATTTATGTTTCCAGGAACCCCACTTCATCCAGTGGTGAGTACATCGCATCTAATGAAGGGCTGGATGATTAAAGTGTTGGTGTGGGCGATGCCACATTGACCTCGGATGGCCTCCCTCTACTTTGTCTCTGGCTACAATTAAAGCAAAAAGCTTTGACGCTAAAGGGATGCTGAAAATAGAGTTTTTAAAATTATTTACATGGGAACATGTGTGTGGAAACAGTAGGCAAAGACAATTTCAACTCAATATCTGGATGCCACTCCAGCTCTTTCTCACCAGTAAACTCTGTGTTTGAACCATCTTAGAATGCTAATGGTTCTACATTTTCATCTGGAGTATGAATTGATGATCTCTGTGAAGAAGAGGTTTTGATGCCTAAACTTTTTTTTAGCAAGATAGTTGACAGATAATTTAGTTCAATGGCATCATTTTAAGAATGAGGAGTGAGAAACCAGAGGTGTTAAATTGACCAGTCTGACCCACCTGGAGCCTGACACCAGCCCAAAAGGATGATGTCTTAGTCACCTACACCTCCTGTCTTTCCAAGTTCTTCTGGGGGCGTGGCAGCCTCGGCAAGGACCACAAGGTTAAATGTATTGTGTTGTCTAATATTTTCTCCCTGATTTCACGGCATTTCAAAGTCCTTCCTTAGTGGTCTGGAAATTGTTTTAGAAATGAGGTCCTGGAGGAAAGGAGTGCATTTGGCTTCAGCAGATTTCATTTATATTTGTGAATTATTTGTCAAAAACAAGCTAATTGTTTTTTAAAAAAACAAAGCCAGTGAAGTGAGTGAAATTTGCCTTTTTTTAAAAAAAAAACAACGTATGTACACAAAAGACTATTGTTTAAAAATCAGCCTTTATTGTATGAAAATTCTTATTGAAAGCTGCTAAATTAAAAGGGATAGCTACCAGTGAGTTGAATTTTTGTACTGTGTGTCTGTGAGATGAGATGGGGAGGGTGGGTGTGGGGATGAGGGGAGGGAATCTGGGGGACTAATCTGCTTATCTCAAGGTCAAGAATGATGGCACAAAGTAGCCAGGAACAAGCTCTACCCAGAGGAAAAAACACAAAAACAAGTGCCAGGCACAGGTGGCTCCAAGATAAATAGGATATAGTCTTTTGGGGATAGACAGATTCAGGGAAAGGGCAAAGTAAGATTCAGGCACAGGGAATTGTGATTGTGGATAAGGCAGGAAAGGCTGCTTGGAGGAGGTCCCAAATAAGTGCGTCCTAAAGAATGAGTAGAAGTTAGCCTTGATGTAAGGAAAACACAAGTAGCGTTCTAAATACCTTTAACACCAAAAATAGGCATTTAAGTAGACCTATTTAAAACCACACACATGTATAATTTATGGTCCTCTTTATTGATGCATGGATATAAGTTATTTTTTAAATTCTCTAAATGCTAAAATAGTTTAGTTATATGACATTAAATAATGTCTATGGGAATAAATTTAGAACAACCAAGGTCAGCATGGTAACACTGTAGTATATATCTCACTCATTTTAATCATTCGCTTCTTATTTATGTATAATTAATAAGGATTGACCCTGGTACTCAATAATGGCAATGTCAATAAGAAAACTCCATTCCTGTTGCTATTAGTTGAACTTTTTTTGAAAGTTATGTATAATCTCAAATATTAGTTAGACATTAATAACCATGATTATGAAAAAGGTATAGTACATTTAAATATTTTAATAGAGATTGTTAAATTACAAGAAGTATTAGAATAAAGCGTGATAACCTTACTCATCAACGCTACAAGCAAATGACTTCAGAGTCTCAGGAATTAATCGGTGACCTAGTACAGTGTAGTAGGCCAAATAGTGACTCTCAAAAGTACCTGGAACCTGTAAATGTTACCTTAAACGGAAACAGGGTCTTTGCAGATGTGATTAAGCTGGGTATCTTGAGCTGAGGAAATCCTCCAGGATGAAATGCAATCACCTCTCTCTCTGTCTATGTCACCCAAAGACCTAGCTTTTTCTCTGGATAATCAGCAACCCCGGAGGCAGCAGAAGACAGTAGCCGGGATCTGACTAATGGTCATAGTGTCTGGACCCCTGGCAGACTAAAGATAACATCTTAACCTAAGTTATATGTAAGTTCCTGAGCTCTAAGGTGGAACCACCCCCTGGCTACTTTCCCATGAAACCAGGACAAAAGATCACAAGAATAGGCCTCAGAACTGTCCTCGAGACCTGCAGAAATGATTCATTATCCTTACTCACCTCTGACCAATCAGCTCCCAGCAAGACCCTGAACCCCTAACCTATGCTGGCTTGTGATTTTGCCCTATATAATCTGTAATCTACATGCCATTGGAAAGTTCAGACTTTTGAGCATTAGCTTCCCATTCTCCTGGATGGCACCATACATAATAAAGTAGCCAATATTTACCTACTAAATCAATAAATAAATGCAATTGCAACTATCCTTATAAGAGAGATACAAAGGGAGAGTTGACACAGACAACGAGGATAAAGGCAATGTGCCCACAGAGGTAAAAAATGGAGTGATGTGGTCACAAACCAAGGAATGCCAGCAGCCACCAGAAGATGGAAGAGACAAGGAATCCTTCCTAGAGACTCCAGAGTGAGTGCGGTCTTGCCAACAACTTGATTTTGACCCAGTGAAACTGATTTCATGATTCCAGGACTATGAAAGGATAAATTGTGTTGTTTTAAGCCACCAAGTTTGTGGGAATTTGTTTGATCATCCACAAGAAATATGCAGAAATTGTTTAAGATAAAATAGAGAAACAAGTACCACTCCATTTTTAGATTTCTTTGAAGTTAAACTTCTCTATATTTTTCTACTCCCTCTAGCTCCCATCCACCCTTAAATCTTCTACCAGTGATCTTCATATTTCTAAACTGAGGGTCACTTTTGTCTTCATTATATTTGTTTGACCTCTTAGTAATATTCGGCTTGTATAATCAATCTCTTCTTTGTAGAGCACTCCTTCCTCTCTAATCACTCCTTCCTCCTCTTTCTCTATCATATTTCTCTATGTGTTGAAATTACTAATTGAGGTTCCCAGCACTGGACATCTCTCTCATCTACCCTCTCCTTCCTGGTCTCACCCATTCCTATGACTGTAAATCATCTACAGGCTAAGAACAATCCCAAATGTATGCTTCCAGTCCAAACTTGTCTGAGCCTCAGGCTCCTGTATCCAACTTCCTATTGGACTCACTTTTAAATTTCTCACAGGATCTCAACATGTTAAAGATCAAATTATTCATTCCACTACATTTCCATCTCAGTAAATGCAACCAGCAGTTTCAAACCGAAACCAAGCAGACTCTCTCTTGCATACTTTTTCATGTCTATTTCATCAGTAAGTCCTAATATATCTGTGGTCAAGTCCCAGCACCCTTGTTGAGCTACCATAAGCCTATTTATCAAAACACATTGTGGGCATTTCCTTTCTAATTTCCCAGTTTGCTTTATTTCGATGTATCCTGCATATAGCAACCATAGGAACTTTTTAAACATATAAATGAAATCATATCACTCCCTTGCTTAAAATATTTCAATGCTTTCCCATTTCACAGGAAGAAAGCCTAAACATATAGCCTTATCTGTGATCTGGTCCTCACCCAGCTCACCATCTCACCCTGAATCCACTGAGACCAAACCACACCTTCAGTTCTGTGAACACATTCTGTGAACACACAAAGCTCTTGCTTGCCTCGTGGTCTCTGCTCTTGCTGGAAGTATCCTATTACCCTTCACGTGTTAACTTCATCTCATTCAGAAGGACTCTAAATCTATTCCTTGCGATTTACCACCCATCTCCATCACGATCAATGAAGCCTCCTCATTTCTACTTATCCATAAACATGAATTGTAATTTTGCTTGTTCTTGCCCATTAGAGTTTAAGTTTAATAAATGTACACACAGTATTTTGGCACTGTGTCTATACCAATAAGTATTTATTAAGTGAATGAAAATACAATTCATTCCTTCCTATCATAATTCTTCTATCTCAAATTCACTATATTTAAAAATTCCCTGTTCTTTTGTTCCTTCTAGCAGTCTTTTGCTCCCCATTTCTGATAGAATATAACAGTAATTCTTCTTTTCGTTCCCACCCCATCGCACACACAACCTTCATATGTTCACTCAAGATGAAGAAGCAGGTGGGTAGCCTTTAGCAGAACAGAGATTTAAGAACCTATACAATACAGTCCTTGGGGACAAGGTCTGACATTGAGAATTCTGCCCTTCAGTGATGCTTCTGGAGTAAAGGGAGGAGGTTTAAGGGACACCATGTATTAAGCCTTTCCGTTTAAGTGTCAAATACGTACCCTTTGAAGTCAAAGCTTTCTAAATGCATGAACTCTCACGCTCTTGTTTTAAAGTCAGTTGATGAAATTTTAGAGCCATAAATATCCCAGGCCACTCAGTTATTACTCCTCAGTACCAGCCCTTCCTTGCCACTACAAAATATCAAAGACCATGTGGATGTGTGTGTGTGTTAAATCTTTGAACCTGGAACTACTGATATAATGTACTGTGTGAAAGAAGAGTGGAGAGTTCTGGGGAGAGAAATCCGGAAATGTGGAGTGAAGTAACGAGGGAAAAAATAGCAAGACCAGCATTGCAGAAACTATTTTCTTCCAGAAGACTTTCTGTGGCTCTTGTCCTCTGACCTCTCCAGCTGCAGCTAGTGCTGAGAGATGACAAGGACCACATGGATCCCGTCTCAGACAGCCTGGCAACAGCCCTTCTGCAGAAACCATGAGCCAGTTCGCCCAAGCTCTCGCTGGTACGCTTCCAGGAACAGAATCATTTGGAGGTGCTGTCCTTCTCCTTTCCCAGCTGCCAGCTAAGAACTGAATTGAGACACCATGATGTGTTGTCAGCCTGGACTCTGCCTCTGGAAGTTTAATTTGAATTTGGAATCTGAAAACCCATTTCCCAAGGCAGCAGCATCCCACACAGCTGTTCAGAGCAGCCCTACATCTCTCATCTGTAGGAGGCCCTGGATGCCTGTGGGCCACAGTTCCCCGGCAACACTCACTCTCTTTACGCTCCAAAAACGTAAGAGCAGCTAGTGTTTTTTCTTCTTTGGTTTTAAGACATTACCAGCAAAATCTAGTGAGTGCAGGAGAATGGAAATAGCCCCAGTCTTGGAGCCAAGAGTCCTGGCTATTTTGTCCTGCCTCTGCCTCAGCAGCAATGACCTTGGGTAATCCTTTAGTCTCTACACTAAATTGCTTTCACCTGTGAGACTGCAGTTCTCACTACCACACTTGCTTCTCACGGATATTGACAAGATTAAAGAAGACAATGTGTGTAAGGAGGGATTAGCCAAAGAACATATACGTATAACCCATAGACACAGACAACAGTGTGCCGAAGGCCAGAGGGAAAAGGTGCTAAAGGGTGGGAGCAGGTGGGCAAAGAGGGGGGATGGAGACATATGTATTAGGGTAAGCAATAAAAATAAGTTTAAAAAAAAAGAAGAAAGAAACAAGCTACCAACATAACAGCACAGTAGCCACACAGTAAAGCAAATGTATACTAAGACAAACAATCCAATTAAAAAATGGGCAGGACACCTGAATAGACATTTCTCCAAAGAAGACATACCAATGGCCAAGAGACATGAAAAAATGCTCAAATGTTTTTACTTTTGAATAATACTGTTTATGAACTATGTTACAACTATTAGCAATAAACAAACTAAAACATCCATTTAAGATTATTAAATTAGATGAACAAGTAACATATTTTGGAAAGCAACATTAACTAATTACAATAGATTTATTGATATCCAAAAAGGTTTTGGGAGATGAGTTTTGAGGTTCTGATATCCTATTGATTGTCAAGGTGTGCCCTTGTGTTTGTGTCACCACACTGACCCTGGCTTCACATAATCCATGGAGAGAGGGTTGGGGATTTGCTTCTGTAGAAAGTCAAAAATGGAGGTGTGTGGGAGGGCTCTTTTCTCTAAACGTTTATTTTGATAAATAGTCTCTGGGTTAAATGACACATTTAGTACAAGTTTCTTTTTTAATACTTATTTTCCCTCCTCATCTATGACAGTGGTCCCCAAACTGGGCCACACAACAGATCCTGTAGCAAACATTTTAAATGCAAATTTCAAGGCCCCTGCCTAGACCTGTTGAGCCAGAATTTGTGATGTCTCTGTTTATGACCGCCCCGCCCCCCTCCCCCAGGTACTTCTGATATAGCTGGTTCTTTGTGTCACTGATCTGTTATGATTTATGACCTCTCAGGATTCACTTTTTAAAATCCTAACATTAGATAGCCCTTGTACCATTTTAATCACTTGGCTTTGTTTCAATAGTACTAAATTATAAAAGTTATAGTTCCTGAAAACCACAACTTTCTATAATTATGACTCAAACGGGTTGAAAATGGAAAACATACACATATGAAATTTTGTAGAAAGTCAAGGAAGAAAAAAATCCCAACTTCCAGCTATTTCCCATGTTGAGACCTCATGTTGCAACATTCTTCTAAAGTGAATTTTATGTCTAAACCATAAAGATCTAAGAACCGCTCGTGGGAGTGCTGTAGCCCCAGCCCTCTAAGACCTTTAGAGTCACCTCTTACAGCCCCAGCCACTCAGTAAAGACTTTCAGCCTCTCCAAGAACTCCCTGCACAAACTATCACTAATTTACTGTTTTCTAACATGATCATTTGTAAGAGATATTTTTCAGTTATTGCTGTCAACAAAAAAATTTGTTTAATAAACATAGATTGTTATTTTCCCCATATGTTCAACAGCTCATTCAGAGCCATAAATAGACAACAAGAATGTTACCGACAATGTATAAATAGAGACGTACCATGACATGGCCAACAGCACAGTTCCGCATTAGAACACTGCATTAACATGTCACTGCAAATATCTGAAAATTGCTCCTAAAAATAAACAGATTAAAACTCATCCAATAACTAAAAAACAAACAAGCCAACAATAACCATTCAGGTCCAATTCAATGTGAAATTTAGTCTAAGAAAAATCTTTATCTAGCATCTTAAACTTTTAACATTGGCTCTTTAAAAAATGAAGTGAAGTTTCTTGTTCTCTTAAATGAATATTATTTCCTTTCTGAAAGGCATATTTGTAGGTGGAGCTTTAAAAAATAATCATCCCATCAACCTATTTCTTCTTACCCCTGGACGAGGAGTACAGTGATAAGGAAGTTTAATAAGGTACTTTATGCCTTTATCACTGCTGCGTTGATTGTGTGACCTAGGAAACCAAACCAACTTTCAACAGTCAATTGAAAAATTGGCCACTTGAAAAGTTCAAGCTTTTCATTCACTCTTTTAAGAAAGAAAGGTTAGTTCAAGACATACTTAGGCTAGAGGAGGAAATAGCAGGTCTATATTAAAACTGCAGATGAATTTTTAAAAATATTCATGCTAGTGAATATGGAAACATACTGGTAAGTATGAAAAAAATAAAATCCCAAGTAATGTCCACTTTTTAAGAATGTATAAACTTGGTCAGGCTATAATCAAGTTTTTTTTTCTTTATTCCTCTTCCTTTGAGAGACATGTAGGAGGAATCAAAGACTATGAATCAGTATTCTATAGGTTTTACTACTGTAGTGTTATGAAATTTAATACTTTGGAATGATGAGCAATTAGAGTGAATATATTTTGTTGAGGACACTTTCATAGAAATAAAGTTTAACCTGTAATAAAAGCAAAGGTTTAACCTGTTCCCTGTAATTAGGTTCCTATGATGTTCTCCAATGTTTTTGTATGGTTTTGAGAAGAGAGGGTCTATATGGATTTAATTTTTATTAAGCAAAACCAAACAGGGAAGTTTAATGAACTTACATAGTTCAGAATAGATTTATGCAACTAACACAGAGTCTTGTACAAGATGAATAAATTTTGCTCAAATGACATGCTGGTGATTTTTTAAAGTTTTATTCTAAAGATATCTTTATCCTCTGTTATCTTTCTTTAACAGCCCACTTTTCCTGTAGGTCCCACAATAGGGACAAATACGGCGATTAGCTTTGCTCCTTACTTAGCACCTGTAACCCCTGGAGTTGGGTTAGTCCCAACAGAAATTCTACCCACCACACCTGTTATTGTTCCCGGAAGTCCACCTGTCACTGTCCCGGGCTCAACTACAACTCAGAAACTTCTCAGGACTGACAAACTGGAGGTACTTCCATTTTATTTGTGGTTTGAAATGCATTTGTGGTAGAAGTGTACTTCTATGTAGGTAAACGCTTATAAGATATTGCACACACATTCATCTAAAAGCCATGCATTCATGATTCTTTGGTTTGAATTTGAAGCCAAGTATAAAGGAAATTAGTCTGTGGGAAAAGAGTACGTTTAACACACAAAAAGTCAGCTGCAAAATATTAGCAACCAGTGGAACACTGAATCAATCACTGTGGCAGCCATAGTGATGGCTCCTGAAGGCCTCCAGCTGGGCTAGGCTTTCACCTTTGCTGGATTCTGGATTGGTCTCCAGGGGGCAAGTCAGGAGCCCAGAAGCCAGAGCAGTGGGGGACACTCAGGGACAAGGGTGGGAATAAGTCGGATTATACTGTTGACCAGTTGGTATGATCATATCTCACTATTTTAGGAACTAGTATGGCTGTACTACAACGTTCCAGAATATCAGCCCTCGGTGTGTTGTTGGAAACAGGGGGAATTGCAAACTGGGCAAATTTGTTGATTGGGACCGTTTCTTCAACTTACACTTAAGTGTTCTATAAAAGCCAAGAAAACAAGTACATATATTTATAAAACATAATTCTTAAGTCCTGAGTCAAGCCAACCCATCTGTACTTTACTGGGTAATATTTCTCTTTAATCAGAGTTAGAGGATTCATCCATTTATCTTAACTACTGTATCCTGTGATATTTAATAGAGCATTTTATATGGGTGTGTAAAGATTTTAATAGATTTTTCAAAGAGCTCCTTTAATTCCACTACCAATTAAAGTTGTTAGGTGATATATGTATGGTTAGGATGTACCCTGAGCTTTATGTTGGATCCTTCGAGAATGTTCTTTCAAACATACATTTGTTTAAATATCCACCCAATAAATCTTGAGGGCGGTAAAATGTTGCTGCCTAAAGTCAGTTTCAATCCAGAGTATATGGATCTCCACATGAAAAGACTGCGAACTCTAATCACTACTGTTTTGATCTAGCCTGTCCCTGTGAATGCTGAACAGACCTTTCATGGGACTAGATAAGTGTTTTGGGCTCCACCTGCTGGACCCATGAAGCTTTAGTGTTCAGTACGTGACTGTGTTGGTTTTAGAAAACAGATTAGATCAGCTGAGTTGGGAACAAACTGTCGTTCCCAACAGTACTGATGGGCAAAGATATGTGCAAAAATGACTCACCATGACTTTATCAGAGCAGCTTTCAGTCCCCACTTCAAACCAGGAATGAAGTTGGCTACACACAGAGACCCTTGGTAAATGCTTACTGGCTGGCCCATACCTCTGATGCAGTCTCAGACTGGAATCAGTCCATTTACAGAGGAAGGCTTACTCAGAATCTGTGGGAACATCTTAGTAATTCTTATTGTGCACATTTCATGAACTAAGGATGGAATGTTGGCTAATATTCAAAGTAGGAAGAAACGGTTGACAATTTTGTGACTTATCTGTTTACTCTTCAAACTTGCTTGGTGACTGGGGAGTGACACTGTAGTTCCCCAGTACGTTTGACTGTCACAAGGCTTGACCGTCATATCAGTTGACCCTTCATATAACATCACTGATGATCCGGATGTGAACGACCACTTAAATATGCCCACTTTGGGATTGGAGCCTAAAAAGAAAATAACTTAAAATTTTACTAGTAATTCTTCCCTGCTAATGATATTTATAAATCTAAGAATTATGTATATATGTTATTTATGTTATTTCATGTTCTAATATTCAGGGCAGAATTAAGGATACTCTTTAAATTCTATAAAACAAACAAACAAAAAACCTCTATACAGTAAACTCTTGATTCACCAGAATTTTCAGCGCATGGAGCATTCTAGTTACTTGAGGTTTCAGGGTAACTAAGGATTAAGGAATAAAAAAGAAACAGCACACCAACACTTCAAACTCTACTCTACTTCCCTTCCTTTCTTTCTTTCCCTTTACCTCTTCCCACATTTCTCTCTTTTTTGTCCTTTTAAAATATGTTTATCATTTTTCTGTGCTGTCAAAAATAGTAATATGGTGACCTTAAATGAAAGTTTTTGGTGGCTTAGATATCATAATTCTTCAGATTTATTATCATGCTATCTTTGTAGAGCAGGGGAGACCTAGGGGGAAACTGGGGTATTCACCCCCCCGCCCCATTTCCCATTCTCAGAGAGGAGGAACGAGTTTGTCATTTCCCCCTACTCTTTTTGGAGTTTTACAGCTATGGCCTGGTGGCTTAAACTATGGTGAAATTATCCCTCCATGCAAAAAACCTATAGCATTCCAGAGTTGTTCAGAGACTCTGGAGGCCTTATTGATTTCTCTTTGTTATTTTCCCCAAACTGCAGATTTTGACTTATTTTCTCAATATCCACTCACTCTCAACCTAGAAAAGAGGGCAAAGCAAAACTCAAAATCGTTTTTATTAGGGATTCTGGTTACTTGTGTTCTTGATAATCAAACTTGTATTGTAAAGGGCACAAAAGCCACCCTTCAGAGAAACGAAAGGAATTAATTCAATTAACACACACACACACACACACACACACACGCACACGCACACGCACTCACACGGCTGCACGTGCAGAGGCGGCGACCAGGCCCCGTGCTGCATTGTCTGCTCTCGCCCCCTGTGTCCTAGGTATGCAGGGAGTTCCAGCGAGGAAACTGTGCCCGGGGCGAGACCGACTGCCGCTTCGCACACCCCGCCGACAGCACGATGATCGACACAAACGACAACACCGTAACCGTTTGTATGGATTACATAAAGGGGCGTTGCATGAGGGAGAAATGCAAATATTTTCACCCTCCTGCACACTTGCAGGCCAAAATCAAAGCCGCGCAGCACCAAGCCAACCAAGCCGCGGTGGCCGCCCAGGCAGCTGCGGCCGCGGCCACAGCCTGGGTCCTGCCGCTCTCCACACCCGCTGGGAATAGGGAAGGCTGCTATTCCTGCTGCTCCGCTGCCTAAGTTCTGTTGTTCTCCCTCTTTGTTTTGTTTCCCCCTCCCTCCCTTGTTCAGCACAATAAGTATATCCCTCAGGGGCAGGCAACCAAGGGCAGGTGCCAGCGCCCTCCCCCGGGGCCAGTTCTGTGGTCACAGGCTGGGGTTCTTCCTGGGAGAGGGGCTCCAGGGCCTCCTGCTGAACAGGACGGTGGGCACTGGCGCCTAAGAGAGTGGGAAGCTGAGCAATAGACCGCATCTTCGGAGAGCAGACCCTGGAGCAGAGAAGTAGCAACAGGTGACCGGTCAATGACTGACTCTTCCCTGTTCCCATTGGTTTCCTCTTTTCGTTTAGTCATCAAGGGGGCCAAGGGATTCGCTGCAAACTTTCTCTCCCTAAGTGAAATTTTACACAGAACACCAAGTCATGAGAGAGATGAAAATGGAACTGTACTGGCTGCTGCTTAAGAAATAAATGAGTAATTAAATAAAATTAAAATAAATAATAAATAAATAAATAAATAAATAAATAAATAAAGGCTGTAACCCAGCATCCAGAACTTGAGTCACTTTCCTGTCCCTTAGAGACCAACAGGCACCTCATTATCAGCACTTGGGGGCCTGTCACAGCCCCAGACCCCTGGGCCCCACTCCAGATTTTAAAATTCAAATGTTAGGTGTTTTGTATGCACATTAACATTTGAGGAGCACCTGTCTAGAGTCCCAGTGGTCGGCAAACTCATTAGTCAACAGAGCCAAATATCAACAGGACAACGACTGAAATTTCTTTTGAGAGCCAAATTTTTTAAACTTAAACTATATAGGCAGGTACATTTACTTAGGGTACTCCTAAGGCTTAGGAAGAGCCACACTCAAGGGGCCAAAGAGCCGCATGTGGCTTGCGAGCCGCAGTTTGCCAACCACGGGCTAGACCACTGATTCTCAAACTTGGCTGTATTTTGAAATTACCTGAGGGGTCTTGAGAAGTTCAAACATCAGTCCCTTCCCCCAAAGTTATTTAACTGGTCTGGACGCGGCCTGGGCAGTGGCCTTTTTTAAAAACTGATTCTGATGTGCAGCCAAGTTTAAGAACCACTGGACAAAGTTGTAGAAGGTTCTAATAAATCTGTGTTCATGTGAGATCTCTGGCTCATCAGAAGTCTGCTTGAATACATGCTTCTCTTGGTATATCAGCTCCATTCTCTAAGACCAGTTTCTCTATACAATGCTGACCATGGTTTGCACACCTTCCATCTCTGAAGGAACAGTGTACCTACTATATATAAATGGTAGATGACCTGGGTTAATGGGGATAAAAGAGGAAATGGCCACTTACACAAAAAGGTCATTCTTCAGCCTGTTATCTTTAAATCAAGACTGTATTATTGTGCCTTCCTGCGCATTCTCATGTCATACTCATCAAGACGCATAGACGTTAATGGAGTGAATGTCAGTATGTTTAGTTACCATAGTTTCCTGGATTGTTACATTGTGCCCAAATTTGGAATTCCATCATTTCAGGGAATCTTGCAGCAGCATCAAAGACAACCCAAAGGAATGTAGTTTTAGATCAAAAGCCAGCTTCTTTCTGATAATGACATGGAAATGACTGAATCTGTCATATCTTTTTAGTGACGTGAGAGACTCATTAGAAACCAGCCTAGGTGCACTTGGATAAAGTCAAAGCATTCTTACTCTAGAACTTTCAAACTGTGAAGATAAGCCAGACAGAGCTTCTCTTTGGTAACACGAAGGGTATCTGATCTTCAAGAAAGCAGTCTTGCTTTACACACAAAAATGGAGCTACGCGGGGAGATACCTGTTTTGTAAAACATGTACCAGAACTTTGAATTCCACCCTGCTTGTCCACTTCCTTTTGTTCCATGTTAAAGTGGCAGCTCTCATTATTGTTGTCAGGGTTTCCTGACTCCTCAGATCTGCTTCTGGCCTGTGACGCCTGACATGGGCCCTTAGTTCGCTTGCCTCAACCCATAGTTGGATGGTTTCTTGATCCAGTCAAAGTAAAACCTGGCTGCATGTGCACAAGCTGGAGAAGGCCCAGAGCGGGCAGAGGATATAAATGGTAAGGCCAGCAAGAATGAATGCCACGTGCCTGGCACATAGTAGGAGCTCAATTAAAGAGAACCTTTCTCTGCATAGGTGACTAAGGAAGCTCCCAAGATGTACTGGGTTTGGTGATCTCTAAAGTCTGTTCTAATACTAAAGATCTTTCAATAATAGTAAATAATATCAGTCAAATAATATCCTCTACATCAGAACATCTGTGTCTTATAATGCTGTGTTATAACATGATTATTCATCCATACAGATTTCTAAATGCAATCTACTCATGTGCCTCAAAGTGTGAGCTGTGTGAGATATTACTATGTATGCTTGATTCTCCCAGAAGACAAGCTGTTTGCATCTAGCAAAGATAACCTACAATATGGAGTGGTAGAAAAGAAGATGCTCATTATCCAGCTCAGTTTAGAGTTCTGCGTTTCTTTACGTTTCTAGATTATTATAATTTCTATGAAAATTACGTATCAGAAAACATGTACCTCCCCAGAAAAATATTTAATATTTCCTTTTCTACTTAGAGACTTCATTAAATGATTCTTTCTTAAATCAAAATGTTGTTCATCAATATTCTTCTAGTTAACATATCTAGTTAGCATAAAGATCAACCCAACAGTGGGTGCGTTCTATAACTCCCGAGGACTGAAAAAGTGAAGGGAAGAATTGAGGTCAAAATGACCTTGAGTTTACCATCCAGTTAATGTTCTCAGTGCACTTGGGGAACAGGCTATGTAACCTTATATAATTAGCACAGACTAATTTAAGCTAAAGAAAATGCATTATTTAGCAATATAAAACTATATAGGCATGAAAGAGTTTAAATAAAAGTGGTGTCATGGAAGCTACATAATGGAGAATTTACATTTGAGGAAAGAATATTCAGTATAAAGAAGCTTTCTTATTATAGAGCTTATTGGTTTATAAAAACGTTCACAATTTTACTTTTAGAACAACGATTTCATAATATTTGATGGCCTCTATTGAGACTGCCATCCAAAACATTTTCTCCATTGGCCATTCTAAACCTCTTCTAACCTATAGTCCTTTCCACTTTATTTCTAGCTCTTTCCCCACCCCATACCTCTTCTATAAAATGACTTCCTATCATTTCTATACTTTTAATCTTGAATCATCAAATGATGATAAACAACCCTTTATTTCCCAAGGAAAATATCATTTACTGTTTCCTACTTTGAGAGTTTAGTACTATTTCAACTTATTTCAAATGTCATAGTTCGAATTCAGAACTTTAGAACATAACATTTATATTTGTTATACAAACCTTAGGGATTTACTTATTGTGCTAACCATTAAAAATGGGTACTTCATTTTTTATTTGCATTGGAGTTATTCTTTTAAATTTGTTTATTTTCACAGAATTTCATCATCAAATTTTTAGATTTTTTACAATTACCAAGGAATAGAAAAAATTTTCATTGTGGTCTAAATCAATCAATATTTGTTGTTATTTCAACTGTTTAAATGAAACTGTCTGCCCAAAAGTATGATTATAGATACTATTTCACTTCTATTATTTCAAGCAGTACTTTGCCATTTTTAGCTGTTTGTTATTTTTAGCTATTGTATTTATTCTAGAGTTCCACATCTCATTTACTGGGTTGGTCGCTAATTGTAGTTAACTGTACAAGTAGAACTATTAAATATAAATTATTTTGATACCTGAAAACACTAAATACCTTTTTTAAAGGTATTAGTATAATCCGGTAAGTTGTTTGAGATAAATTGAATTCTAATTTCAAATATAGTGGAAAACTTAGAATGGATGATAAGTTAGTCATTAGAAACAGTACAATGGAATAAAAGAGAGAAATTTGAGAAACTTACTATTCATATTCAAAATTTGTTAAATTTGGAACCTTATTCCAATCCATGCTAGCAGAGTGAAGAGAAGAATTGAGACAATTATCCACATGATTCAGACAAAAAATTAAGATCCAAACCCAAACAGTTTTGCCTAAATAATCTTGTGTTTGAATATTTTTTTGCCTGAATTTTTTTGTCTCAGTTTGCCACTTCATTTTGTTAGGCTAGATCTTCATTAAAAATTATTTTTATGCAATTTAAGATATTATATTTTTTTACTTGGGTCCTATATATTTTGCACATTGATAATTTCATATTTGAAAACTAACTTATCAGAAGTTCTTCAATCCTATGACCCTTAAAAGTTTTGCTTTTTTTTTTCTGAAGCAATATAAAAAATGCTTATGGTGTGTATGCAAGCTGCTGTTTTGATTAACTTTCCTGAATTTCAAACATCTATATTTTACTCTCTTATATGCTTTTAACTAAGGTATAGTAGATGCATTTTTGCTTCAATACTAATTTAAGGTGTAATATTCATTTCTTTAGAGAACATTTTTGTTGTTGTGCATGCCTAGTGTTTTGTACGTTGTATATTGCATTCAGAATATTTTTTTCCTTCTCACCTATCCACAATGCAATGCCGTTCCCATGATGCACCTCTGCTTGCTGTTTACCTGTATGTTAATTCGCTTGAATCCCATTGGCCCACTGCCATCATGTGCTCGCTGCCTGTTATTAAAAGACTCAGTCGACTGCCAAAGCAATGAAGCGACCTCTCGAAGCATCTGTAGACCTGGTACTTTGACCTTTCACCTTTCGCTTTGCATGTAGCCTTTCAGAGAACCATCTGAGATTTGTATTACTTGTAAAATATTGGTTGCAAAAAAATCATTATTATTAATTAATGAAAAATTCAATAAGGTGTTTAGCCATCTCATTTTCATATGTAATATGTAAAATAAATTAATCCTAACAAATGTTAATACCTTTTCCAAAAGAGTAAAGCAAATTTAAATTACTTGGCTCAGAAGATGCTTATTATAATTCTTATTAACATTTAAATTCAAGAAATGATCATTTAGTTAAAGTAAAAAATAGAATTAATGATAACACAAATGCTTCTTTCCTTCCTTAGAATAGTTTAACTCATTTAAAAAGCTGGAGCCATTTTTTGTTGTTGTTGCTTGATAGTTTTTCTTTTCCTTAGTTGAGATGCTACTGTTTTGGATTACAGAAATCATGCTTTCGCTCTCAATAACGAATTCTCACTCATTCGACATTGCCGCTGTTTAAATTAAGGTGCATGGCACAGGCATCTCCTTAGCTGTCATTTTTTTAAAAAAATGTTGCAATTGATGATCTCTGTGGACACTGAAGTTGTGTTTACTTTGAGTTATACATATCATATCCGATTCTTCACTTATAGGCCTTTCCACCTGGTGCTCTTCATCCTTTACCAAAGAGACAAGCACTTGAAAAAAGCAACGGTGCCAGCACGGTCTTTAATCCCAGCGTCTTGCACTACCAGCAGGCTCTAACCAGTGCACAGTTGCAGCAACACACGGCGTTTATTCCGACAGGTATGTGCCCTGACCGTTCCAAGTCCTGTGTCTGTGTGCCCTTCTGGTCATGTGCTTTCTTCTCATTCCTTTAAGCTGTTTGGTGGCATCTAATTTGCTTTTAAAGGTACAATAAATACAGCCTGAAACTCATCATTGTCCTAGCTATCTATATATATTTACCTTGCTTGGAATGATAGCTATGGACTGTTAGGATTCTAAAGCCAAATATTTTATACAGTCAAGGGACAGATTAAACCCGTAAGAAGCAAATAGCCTAAGCCTTTTGGTTTCTTGTATTTACACATGTTGTGTAAAATTGTTTATGTAAATAAGACCTTCTATGTGTGACAATTGAAATTTGTCATTAACCCTGAATGACTTTTAAAAAAAGCAATTCCTATAAATACTAACCTTTTCTTTTCTACTCCTATTCAGAGCACTAAAAAACGAGGCTATTCAAATTAAAGCAATCCTCTACTCATATTTTTACATCCATTCTATCTCTTTCACCATTCTTCTCAACTTCCACCAAGTTTACAATATAGAGAGCCAATGCCTGATAATATTAGTTACTAAGATGCATTAACTCTATCATTCCACTAAAAGATGAATCATTTTAATCATAGAATCTTGAAGTGAAAAGATTATTAGTGACCTCCTCATCCAGTTGATTGTTTTACAGATGAGAAAACTGAGGTGCCCCCTGCCCAAATGTGAAGTGACTTGCCAAGATGGCACAACTAATGAAAAAAAAAGACCTAAAAACTAGTTTTCCTATGATCAATTCAATTTACATGACAAGACATTCCCTGGGTCTCCATGTGTGGAGACCACAGAGTTCTCCTTTAAAGCTTGGTATAAACCATCAAATATAAGTGAAGGAACAAAAGTACAATGCATGTCAACCCTCCTCCATTTCTTATCCACCTCCCCAACCACAGACTTACATACACCATACACAAACACAAGGAGCCACCATAAATTGACTGTGGTTTTGACCTTTAGTCTGTGTTAGAATCAGAAGCAGGAATAATAGTCTCATAATATTTTCTAGAGTGTCAAAAAACACAAACCAGAGAGTGACTTAGGCCTTAGTGAGAAGACTGTCCGTTGTGTTCTTAGTTTCAAAGTCAAAATTTTCATTCCATGATAGTAACTTAAAGGTAAATGTAAATGAGTAACAATTTTATCAAAAAGAGTTTGTTGATCCTAATCCATGTGGTTGGACTTTTCAGGTTTATTATCTATTCGCTTAAATCTCATAGTATATCAATAGTTAACATAGGAGGGAGTTGAATAAATATTTCTATGTATTCTTTGTATAAAGCCTATACTTTGAAATGAATTACAACCTGTTATAACAATATATTTTATAGTAAAAATATAAATTACAAGTAAAATGGTTCTTAGTATTTAGTTTCCTTATTTTAGTTCTGCTCTACTCTTAAAAAATGTTCATAGACCTGTAGAGTCAGTCTCTAAGTCACTACTTATTAGGACTTCACTTTTGTTCTATTACAATCTTAATTAGTGCCACTTCAGTGCAGTTATAGCACAGCAGTATCTGTACATGCAATCCATTGGATATGGCATGTTTGTAAAAGAATTACTAGAAGGTAAACTTACCTCAGGGTCCTGTGTGATTTCTACAAATGTCTTATTTTATAGACCCCATCACTAGATATTTTAGAAGAAAAAAAATAAGGAAGAATATACTGAGGGGGAAAACATAAAAAGACAAGTCTGTCTCTGAAGACTGGATGATAATGCCACTACCATTTCCTGGGCATGTCTATATAAATCCTGGAGCTAAGCCATGCAAAAGACTGAAGCCCTCTAATTCATATTTAACACTTCAATCCAATAATGATCGATTTGCTAAAGCACTGAAAGAATGCTCATTTTAAAACGGTTCACCTGGAAACCATTTAAAGACTTCCAAAGCAAGAATGAATATCATCCCTTATGCAATGACTTGATTATTATTGATGAAATGGGTTGCATTGAGGACCAATAGGCTGAACTGGCTGCTATGGTTGTGCACTTCTGCCCTCTGCTGGATTCTTTAAGAACTGTTCAAGTGTGTCCAGCAACCCTCAATTGAGTGGACTTTTGGAAGCCAAGTTCACTTAATTCTGTGAATTATACATGTTTCCAACTATAACACTATATTAATATCATAGTGAACAAACATGTAGATCTCATTTTCTGAAATGGCATTTCAACTTCTAAGAAGTTTTCACATGTTTCTCTTAAACGATGAAAGATAAAATAATTTTATCACAAAGGAATTAGCATAATCTCCCCCACCCCACTTAAATCCATAGCATATATGTCAGTGTTTACTTTGCCTCTAGTTTTTATTTTAGGCTTTCTTCCTCACAAATCACATTTTCAGCCTAATTTTTAAATGATAATGATAATTTTCATTGTTAATCATTATTGTTTGAAATCTCTGCAAATTAAGTGATGGTGTTCAAAAGTATTTTTTTGCGACTTAGTAGGTAGTGGGCCCATTATTTTTAAACTGACACATTTTGATTTTTCAATAAACACTTTAACAATTGTCATAAATATGAAACAAAAAGCATCTTATGTTCTCCCGGAGGTTGCCCTTTATTGACAGGTCATTCATAAGTGAAGTTTTTGATGTGCTACTAAAATTCTCCCATTGACACAATGTGAATTTGGATTTCAGAAATTCTGCCTTCAGTCTTTGGAGATATTAACATAAAATGTTATGTAAAATAACATTATTAGCAGGGTTGGGGTTCTTCTCCCAACCCTGCTAATATAATTATCACCCTGGTTGATGCCCTAGCACATTTTCAGTGGGTGGGAGTTTTCCTTTATTTTTTGCTTTTTTTTTTCCTTTTTTTGATAGAGATTATTTTAACCTAGCAGTTATACTTTTTCTTTGCTATGTTAGGAAAGTGGCAAAAACCACACACATTTACAAAAATAGCAGCATAATAGTTCTTGGCATTTCTCTGACAGGTTCATTCTGAGTTACTGTAAGTGTTCTTATAGACATTGTCACATTATTCTTCAAGATAGTCCTGCCAGTGCCAGGCATCATTATTTGCATTTTGCAGATGGAAAAACTGAGGCTGTGTCTATGCTGCAAAGTGTGATATATAATTAGTGGAATTATCCAGATAATTCTGACTCACAGATTCTAGAGTTGAAATACTTGTGCAACGGAAGCAGAAAACATTTGAGGCTTTGTTGATGAGAATTAGTGCCTTTGTGAAATTCTTCAGCCAATGAGAACAAAGATGACCCACTGACCCCCTCCTTGACTTATTTCACTATATTAGAAATATGGAATAAGTAGAACATAGAACAGTGCTAGCAAAAATGTTGCCTAGTGATCAGAAACCATAATGTTACACAAGGTTAAGGTTATCACATATCTTCATGAAAGATTTGTCAGTGTGTAGCGGAAACTATATCTATATAAAACCACAACAAAATTTATATATCCTATTCAAGTTGGGAAACAGTTATTGAACACGTAATGTGCTCTGGGTTCCAGAACCAATAATGAGAATACAAATGAGTTCAGAACTAGAAAAAACAAAAAAAACAAATCTAAGGCAAAGCATGGGCTTCATTGGGATATGAGCAAAGCTATTTGAGAGTGAAGGAGAAAAAGGCATGTGCTGTGACTGGTTGACAAAAGATGAGGAGAAAGAAAGACTTTCCATAGCAGAACTTTGCTTAGCACTTTATAAGGAAGATTTAACTAAAGAGCATCCCTGATAGGGGGGTACAGCATGGGTTGGGCAGAATGTATTGAGAAATAGCAGGTGGTCCACTGTAGCTACAATGTAAAGTACATAAGGGACTGTGGATGGGTGGGGAGATCAGAGTGGAATGAAAAGGTAGAGATGGGGCTAGGAAGCAAGATCAGGACCAGATGTGTTTCCAATATTCATATCACTTTTAGGCCACGTGGAGACCGCGGCTCATCAAATTAATGTGGCTGAGCATTCCAGCCACAGCCTGAACTGGAACCAATGTGATGTGTCCCAATCCTAGCCCAGTATGGTGGCAGGAGCTGCTGCTGATGGTTTGCAAACCAATGACATTCACATGCACGACACAGGAAAGCCCTCCAAGAAAGCCCCTCCTTATTAGAATGCAGAGGCATAACATGGAATTTTTTAGGGATAACTTTGAATCCAGCCACGGTTGATTTAAAATGAAGTCATTCACAAACTGGGTACTTTAAATAAAAATTGCTCCCATCACACTTTCACGAATGGCTGAGAACATTCATTCAACCAATTGTCTATCTACTGTGTAGATAGACCTAGACAGACATAAACAAAACCCTGTTCTCCCAGAGGACAAGATGGATATTCAATAAGCGAGAAGACAGATGGATATTCAAGAAATACCCATAGAAATATATAATTAAAAATTGCTATGAGTACTATGAATGAAAAAGTAAAGAGTTCAGTAAGATTTAAAATAGAAAGCTGATTTAAACGGCATATGGAGGCAGGTAAAAGAACAATTGAACGATTTTCTAAAGAAGTGACGTACCATTAAACCTGGAAGATGAAAAGAACGGGGTAAAGATTATTCTAGTCAGAAGGGACAGCTTGCGGGAATCTCAAAAGTAGGACAAAGACGTGCTGTGTTTAGTTCGAAGAAATGAAAGGCTGTTTCATCAATTGAAAATCAATAAACTTCAATCTGTTCCCTAAAAGAAAAAAGAAAGAAATGAAAGGCTAAACTGTCTGGGTCGTGATTCTAGGGGGACTAGGGTATGGGACAAGCTGGGGAGGTAGTCAGGACAGGACCATAGGTGGCCTTTATCCTAAAAGCAATGTGAAGGCAGTGAGTCGTTTCCAGCAGAGAAGTGAACTGAGCTGTATTCGGAAAGGTTCACTCTGCCAGCAGAGTGGAGAATGGACTAAGCCAAAGACAAGGAGGGAAGCAGGAAGACCAGTTAGGCTGTTATTGCATAGCTGAGCATAGAGCCAATGGTGATCAAAACTTGAGAAATGGCAGTAGAGATGGACAAACAGATAAATACAAGGCACATTTTAGAAACAAGGTAGCTTTGACTTATAGGTGAGTTGGACCAGGAAGTTTCACAAGGGGAAGTGGCATCAGGCATAGCTTTCATTTTAAGCTAGAGTTACTACATAGACGGTGATGTCCATCTAGCATTTCCTGCGGCGGAGAAACATTCTGTGGGAAAGATCAATGTTTGGACATGAGAAATTCAAGACACTTGTCAGACATCCAAGTTGAAAGGCCTGGTGAGCAGGTAGATAAAAAAGACCTGGAGCTTAAAGGAAAGAACTGGGAAGGATAGATAAATCTGGTAGCTTGATCTCATAGATAGTATTTAGATCCTGGATTGAATAATATTATGAATTGAATGATATACCAGGGAAAAGTAGAGTAGATGAAAAAGAACTAGAACTGAGTATAT